ATAATTTAAACGAGGGTTTATTTTAGGAAGGTTCAGAAGCTGGTAAGGCGTGAAACGACCGAATGGCTACACAGTCTTATTCACAAGGCATCAATCAACAAAAGTGTGTCAGGCTCTTTGAATATTCTGATTGGTTGTCTAGATATCTGCATCTAAACTTGGAGTAGCTAAAAATATGCATGCTAGATGTGTTGCGTAAATGGACGCCAGGTAAAAATTATGTTAAATATCAAAATTTCCCGACACATTTTCGTTTGTCATTATCCCTGGAATGTTTTGGCGAAATTTCACGAAAATCCGTCAATTCTGCATACCTTAAAAACTCACTCAAACCGGAAGCATTCTTCTCAGAATCAAATATAATGCGAGATTTTAGCGGCCGTCGATAAAACCAGGAACACATAACATTCGAGAATATTCCGGAACATTAAAAAATTATAACGATTATGGGGAAAATATATAAATTAGATATAGGTTTAACCTAGAAAAACAAATAGGTGAAAAAAAGAATAAGAAAGCTGCAGGTTTCAGTTCCGAATATGCAAAAAAAAAAAACAAAAAAACAAAAAAAAAATTACGATCTGTACATGCCCGCAAATGATTCCGGCCCGCAGATGATTCCCGTACCGCAAATGACCCCTAGATTGTACCGCAAATGATCCCAGGACCGGAACTGATCTCCTTATTGTACCGTAAATGATCTCAGACCGGAAATGGTCGCCTCGCCATAAAAGATCGAAGAGTGAGGACTCAGGATCATGGACAGTGGATTTAAAGTTTATGCAAACGGTTTTTTTTATTATTGTTACTGTGAAACTCAGAAAACCGTGAACATTTGGATTTGATTCCAAAAGGTTAATTGTGTTCTGAACCAATCACAATAAAGTTCAGGACACGCCAGGAAACTTCAAAACCGCAACCATTTATCGCTGGTGTTTGCGGTTTAGTTTCTCACACTTAATTGCCTTTATCCTTGCTACGCAATAATATTCCCTAAATATTTCTGTTATTCACAGTTTTCCGAGTTTCAAAGTAATACTACAATATTTTAATACAGCATTTACTGTATGTAACGCAAGCAGAATTT